AATCAAAGTGTTTTCCTTTAAAATCGACCTAAGTGGGGATGTATGCCTTTGATCAGCCTGCCTGGGCGCTCACACCCTCCACTGCCAAGGATGCTCCAGGTGGAGGGGGGTGGGCCAGGCCTCCGGCCAGGAGCTGGTGGTGTACGGGGCAGATGTGGGGAGGCACGAGGGGTGCCAGATTCTGGGGAGGGGGGAGCTGTCAGTGCTCGTTGGCATTTTCAGTATGCATGTGCCAAGTTTATTCACGTGTATGGCAAGACCGGGGCGCTGTGCGGGCCTCTGACGCCGGGCGGCCTTGTCACAGGGCCAGGTTGCACAGGTGTCGGGGGCCTGGGCAGGGTGACAGCAGCAGTTCCCCGGATGCTGCAAGGCCAGAGCCTGTTGCTGGCCATGGCTGCCGTCAGGACAGCGTCCTGCCCATCAGGACAGCGTCCTGCCCGTCAGGACAATGGCCTCCACATTTCTGGCCCTCTTGCAAAGACTGCGCTGCTCTCCTCTGAGAAGCTTCTCTTGGTCTTTCCACGAGGCGTTAGGACGGCAGCACAGACACAGAGCTGCGGCAGCGAGGGGTGTGGGGACACAGAACCGGGCGGCCCAGACTTTGCAGCTGCGCTGCTTGGGCAAATCTCTTTCCAGTCTCTGAGCCTCGGTTTTCTCATCTGCACAAGGGGGGCAACCCCGGGGGACACTGCGTTTCTCACCACTGCCAGCCCCCGAGAGCACCCTGTGTGGGAGCCTGGGGCCGGGAGCAGCTCAGGGCAGGGGAGAGTCCTGGAGATACCGGGTGGCCCCCACGTGCCTGGCAGGCAGCTTCTGTGCGGCCGAGGCGGCAGCGCGGCGGGGCTGGATGGTGCAGGGTCGGGGAGGCGCGGACTGGACCTTTCAAGTCTGGGGTTTTCACTTTAGCCAGTGCAGTGCATACAGCTGGGGCCAAAGGTCAAGAGCGGAGCCCTTACAACATTCGAAATGCTCCGTGTTGTGTTTTCTTTGTAAAAAAATATGTATTTTATTTATTTGAAAGGCAGAGAAAGCTTCTATCAGTCGGTTCACTCCCCAGATGGCTGCAATGGCTTGAACTGGTCCAGGCTGCAGCCAGGAGCCAGGAACTCCATCTGAGTCTCCCACGTGGGTGGCAGGGGTCCACCTGCTGCCGTCCTGGGCACATCAGCAGGAAGCTGGACCGGGAGCAGAGCAGCCAGCACTGGGACAGGCGCAGTTATGGGATGCCGATGTCGCAGGTGGAGGCTTACCTTGCTGCGCCACGCCGGCAGCCCCTCCATGCCGTATTTCCTGATCGCTCGTCTCGACCCTGTATGTGGATTTCAGATACCGTCCTGGGCCTCCTGCAGTGGGGAGCTTCCGGTTCAGTGGGCAGATCCGAGGGGCTCAGAGCCCAGGCAGCCCCAGTTAGATGGGAGGGGATGTTAAGCCAGGGTGCCCCAAAGGAGAGCTGTGGGGCAGGCACTCCACGCATTCAGGGTCAAGTTCTCTGACCGGCGGGGGTGGGAGTGCACGGCCTCCACCTGGCCCTCGGCCCTGCAGTGCATCTGGCCACAGATTGGTGAGAAGAACAGGAAGGAACCAGGCACAAGCAGCTGCTTCCCTATGGGGTTGTGGGCCAAGGGCTCTTCCTGCGTAGAGGCCTGTGGGCACGCCACGCACCAGGAGGGTGCCTCCAGGGCCCGGCTACGTGTTCACACCTGTCCAGGGTGAGGGGTGGCAGACAGCCCTGCGACAGGCCCCTGCAGCTCTGCACACCTCTGATCCACCGCCATGGCCTCCGTGTGACCTTAGGGCCAATGAGCCATGCATCGGTCACCAACTGTGTGACTTTGTGGCTTGTACCAGGGGCCTCCCCAAAACTGCCATTCGGTTCTTGTGGCTTCGGTGCCCTGCCTGCGCCTCTGCGGCACACAGTCCGGTCACATCCAGCTCTTTCCCTCGCTGCCGCTCCCTCAGCACAGCCCCAGCCACCGCCGAGCTCTGGCTCTGGGCCTCTGAGACTCTCTGGGTTTCTGTCGGCAGAAGGGGGGTGCCCCAGTGCCTCATGGGATGGCTGTGGTGTTTGAGAGACGCGGCGCCTGCGTCCCACCCAGCCAGGGTTCGTACTCTGCACACTTTCCTTCTCTCCTCTCACCTCCTGCTTCTAGGTCAACGGCCACCTGTGGACGCCCGGGCCACCAGCAGGGCCCTCCCCCACCTGTCCAGAAAGACGTAGAAGGTCCCCTTTGAGCTCCCTGGCTCACGTCAGTCTGCCATCAGCCTGCGGGTGTTGGCGGGGCGGAAGCTTCCGGCCCAGGACGAGCCTGTAGCTGAGCTTGAACCTGTCCCTTGTGCATGCAGGCAGCAGAAACACGTGGCAGCAGGAAAGGCCAGTGGCCTGGCAGTCACCCTCCACCTGTCTGCAGCGCTGAGCCTTACCCAGAGGCCATTGCTCGTGGGCAGAGACCTGGAGAAGTGGGAGCTGGGTCCCTCAGCCTGCACCCCAGGAGGGAGGCACAGGTCCAGGAGGGGGGGCTGCGAGCTGGGCGCTTGCTGCGGCCCAGGCCCTGGGGTGCTCACCGCCCAGGAAAGAGAAGGGGCAGTGGAGGTGACCAGCCCCCGCATCGGCCAGGGCCCGGCTACAGCGGGTGCACCTGCACACCCCCTTCCCTCCCCAGCTTTCGGCGCCAGCTCCAGCTGGGCAGGCTCACCACGGGCCGCCCGCCGTTCTTACTGTGGCAGGCCCCAACTAGGGCCACGCATTTGCATGATCCTACCCTCTCTGACCTTCAAATAACGAATCCCCAAAGAATATAGAGCAATAGACGTCTACTTTTATGGATTTCTCCAGAATCGTAAAAATTGACCTAATCGCAGGAACAGATTCCATCGTCTTCTAGAAGGAGTCCTCCGACGGGGAGACTCCAGACAGCTGGATGGATGTCTTCCTGCCAAGACAAACAGGAAGGCAGCTTCCTCGTGCGGACAGCGTGGCCACCCTCTGCGGGCCTGGCGTGCCCTCACACGTGCTGTCAGGGGGAGCAGGGGGCCTGGCGCGGCCTCTCTGCTGGTGACCGTGGCCAGGCTCCAACCCCGCTATGCGGAGGAAAGTCTAGCCAGGCGCTGCTTGCTCCGCGGCCTCACGGGGTCACTGAGAACCAGGCAGGAAGAAGCTATGCAAGCTGGCAGACGGCCACAGAGCCGAGTCGGGGCTCGAGGAGCCGGCCAGGCTGCAGGTGGAAGGGGCTGCCGGCGGATGCACTGAGCAGGCACGGCGGTCTCAGCCATCTGTCGTCCACCCCACCTTCCCGACCCGCTGTCCTTCCTAGCCTGCCTGGGATGCCTCGATACCCCCTACCCGGCGTTGCCACACCCAGGCAACCTCTGCACAGTACCCTATTTGACAATAACAGGATCTAGCCAGGGCTTTGTCCTAACACGAACACAGGCTCCTCGTTTTATGATGAAACAAACACAGGCGCGTGCATCAAAAAGTTCACAGAAAATGCACATTCTGGAAAAACTACCCGTGGACTTCAGTTTTTTTTTGTTTTTTTTTTTGTTTTTTTTTTTTTTTTTGCACTGAAACAACTATCTTTTAATTCTGTGTTCTGTGAACTCTTTGAAGGACTGTTGTATCGTTGCTGTGAAACAACCAGCAAGAGACTGGAAGTCCCTTCCTTGTCCCGGAAGGTCCCAGGTGCCAGCTCGGTGGATATTCCGCAAGCGAGCGTCGTCCTAGGAATTACAACAAAGCTGAGCCGCTGTGCAGCTGCACGCGCCGGCTGCGCCAAGCTGTTGGCTGCAGTTGGAAGTGCCTGGAGCTCACTGGGGGGGGGGGGGTCTCTTCGTGGCTCAACAGGAAGCTCCAAGTGTCAGCAAGGCCAGAGCTGCCAGGGATTAACTTGTGGGGGGCATCTCTGTCCCCTCCCTGTGCTTTCCAGGAGGCCACTTCCCGGGGCTCCAGCACAGCCCTGAGCCCGAGAGACCGGAGGAGAGCCCAGCCTGGCCTCCCGCCAGCCCCACACCCCGGGCAGGAGGCCCACTCCTCATTTTCCCCAACAAAATAAATCTTGCAGCTCCTCTGAGTGTCTCAAATGCATGATCTTCCCCCGATTAACAACCCAGCCTGCATGTTCTGGCTGCTCGCTGCCGACCTCGGTTCAGAGCTGTCTGCCGTTGCACTGCCTGGGGAGGAAGGGCCTGGGAGACCCGGAACATCGAAGTCAAGGGGCTTGTGCAGCTGGGGTCGGGGTCGGGGGTCGCTCTGACCCTGGCCAGAGTCCGGCCAGCAACTCAGAAGCTTGCAGAGGGCGAGGGCCCACCCAGGGAGGGGCTGTGGCTGTGGGGTTTTCGTGCCGTTTTGCAAACTGCTCTGATGAGCAAGGGGCAGGGGGAGGGGAGAATGGACTTTGCAAAGTGCGTGACCATCATGATCAGGTTGGACTAGGGACGTTGCCGGCTCTGCGACAGGGACACGTGACGGGTCCTCTGCAAACCCAGACTCCAGGAGAGGCTCCCCCTCCTGCTCTCGGGCCGGGGCCGAGGGCAGACCTGCCTCCCTCCCTCTGCTGCCAGAAGCACTCCGGTTTCTTCCTTTTGGTTTCTTGCCTCCTGCTTCACCGTTCATCCTCCATCCTGGCTGTGCCAGACCTGTGATTTCATCCAGTGCGGCTTCTTGGTCTCTGGGAAGGAGGGAGCTCAGGCTCTGGGCCCCCTGCCCTGGAAGTGGAGAGGGTGCAGCTCCACTGGGCACCTGCTGAGGGTGTGGTCGCTGGTGTGTCGACCTCCCTGACTCTCAGAGTACAATGCGGTGCTCACCTTGCCTCCGAGTGCATCAGGAGGGGTGGAGGCCTGCGTGCGGAAGGTTTGGCACAAACCGGTGCACAGTGAGTGTACAGGAAGTGCGGAGCACACGGTGAGCACACAGGACCCGCGAGCCTGGGGCCTCACGGGGGGAGGCGAGACTGCGGCAGCCTCCAGTGACCCCTCACTCTCCCCCTCTGCTTCCCCTGCAGGAGGACAGTCAGTGACCCACATCGGCCCCCCCATAGTGGTCTCCCTGGCCAACACATTCGTCTCATTCAGATGCAGGGTCACTTGCCCAGACATCCAGGGATTCAAGAACATCACAGTTGGCTACTTCAACAAGGATGTCCAGGGTCACGCCAGCTCTGAGAAGTCCATCACCTGCCGACCCGTGCCAGGCACAGAGAACAAGACCTGCTCCCTGGAGTGCGAGGCCGTCATCAGGCTGCCTGGTGCATCAGCCACGGGCACCTACTACTGCTCTCTCTACTGGCAGGGCTTCACCGTGAACGGCGATGGCACCTTCATCCTGGTCAGAGGTGAATTTTTCTTTTTGCTTTTTCTTTTCTTTTCTTTTCTTTTCTTTTCTTTTCTTTTCTTTTCTTTTCTTTTCTTTTCTTTTCACAGGCAGAGTGGACAGTGAAGGAGAGAGACAGAGAGAAAGGTCTTCCTTTTCCGTTGGTTCACCCCCCAATGGCCGCTGCAGCTGGCGCACCACGCTGATCCGAAGCCAGGAGCCAGGTGCTTCTCCTGGTCTCTCATGTGGGTGCAGGGCCCAAGCACCTGGGCCATCCTCCATTGCCCTCCCGGGCCACAGCAGAGAGCTGGCCTGGAAGAGGGGCAACCAGGACAGAATCCGGTGCCCCGACCAGGACTAGAACACAGGGTGCCGGCGCCACAGGCGGAGGATTAGCCTATTGAGCCGTGGCACCAGCCCATGGTTGAGTTTTTTTCTGTGGCTCCTCCAGGGCCAAGGACCCAGCAGAGTTTGGGGCCCAGGAGGTAAAGTGGAGGAGAGTCTGCCTTGTCCCCCAGCTTTCACAGGGCAGAGAGGAGAATCCCCAGGGAGCACCCACCTGGCAGGTGCACCCAGGCTCCCACCTTTGTGTGGAAAAGGCAGGGCCTGGAATGTGGGTCTGTCTCTCATCCCCTCTGGCTGGTGACCTGAGGGGACACTTGGTCCCTGGGTCTCAGTGAGTGGGGGCAAGGCCCTGCAGACACAGGTGTGTGTGTGGGAACGTACTTGTGGCTACCTTATGCATGTGAGCACACAAGGTCAAGTACATCCTTTGGGGACAGAGTCCTAGAGTTCATCACGTTGTCAATGCAGCAATGACCCAAAGGTGAAGAGCAAGCTATCACCAAAGCCGCGAGTGTCTAACCTGCCACCTGTGCGCAGAGTCCTAGAGACCTGGGTTTGAGTCCCGACCCTGATGCTTGTCTAAATGTGACCCCGGGCCTGGTCTCCACGGCAACACTCTGCCCACCGAGGACAGTGTGAGGATGATCAGGATCGCGCATGGGGAGCTGGTGTCTGTGCAGGAGGGACCTGGCGCATGGCTGGCGCCCTAAGCTTTTGCCAGCCAGCTGGAAGGAGGAAGGGTGGAGAAGGAGGAGGGCTGTGCCCTCACCTCCCCCAGGTGCAGCCACCTGTGGGAGCCAGAACGCTCCAGTCTGCTTCAACCCTCACCACACCCACCCGTGTCATCACCGTTGCATCAGTTCGGCCCAGCTCACTGAGCCAGGGCAGCTCACAGACATTGTGGCCTTGCCCTCCTAGAGAAGCAAGGCACCGGGCACAAACAGGGGGCCCAGCAAGTCAGCAAGGGAAGGGGGGCCTGGGGTGGGGGCTCCAGAGGCCCAGAGGGGCGTGGGGTCTGGGGTTGGAAATGGGCCTCCTGGATGGAGAACACACGGGGGGCCGCATGCGGCAGGGAAGGCCCGGCTCCTCCAGGGACCTCACCCCTGCTCCGCTGCCCCCCCAGATTCGGGGTATCGAGAGCCCCCGCAGAGCTCCCAGAAGGCCCTGCTCTTTGGCTTCACTGGCCTCCTGACCGTCCTGAGTGTCCTGGCCACGGCGCTGCTCTTCTGGAAGAAGGTACGAGACACCACGCGTGCCCGCGGTGCGGCCCCTCCACCACACCCTGCAGGGAGGCCTCCAGGGCACAGAGGGGCTGCCTGCCTGCCCTGCAGGCATCTGCTGTCTCCCGATGGTGGGCCTGCAGCTCCCTTTGTCCTGCAAGACCAGGGCTCTAGGGCTGTCCGGCTCGTGGGTTCCTCGGAGAATCTGGCAGAAGCGGCAGCATTTCTAGCTCCCAGGATTAGCAGCCCCAGGCTGGGTTTTCTTGGCCCAGTGACCTAGAAGGAAAGGAGAGACCAAGAGCCACCCGGTGCTGGGCCACCGTCCTACACACTCCAGTTTGCACCCCTGCCCTCCCATCTCTCAGCTCCGGAGAGCGAGGCTCAGAGAGACTGCATGGCAGAGCCCGGATGGGTGCGGGCAGAGGGGGCAGCTGCTCCACCCTGCCTGGTCGGCTCCTGCTCACACTGGGGATGGCCCCTCCCCGGGCAGGGGTGCTTCCCTCTGGGGCTCCCCTTACTGTCCTCATCACCCACTCTCAGCCTGTGCCCTGCTGCCACCCCAGGCTCCGGCACAAGGCTCTGCACATAGTAGGCCCTCAAGAAGCACTTGCTGCTGGGCTTAGAGCTGGCACAGCCCTTTCATGCCTGTTATTAAATCCGTGTGTTCCTTCCTTGAGTAGATATTGGCTGAGGGCCACTGTGTGCACCAGGCCCTGCAGAGTGGGGCTAGGAACGCAGGCAGCACGTGGGGAGAAAGGAAGGAGTGGCCGGCAGAGGGGGCTTAGGCTCCACCCCTTTCCAACTTCCAGCTTGGCCAGGGTGCTGGGCTCCTCTGTGCTGAGCAGAGCTGCACCATGGGGGCTGCGGAAGGAGGGGCTGGCATGCGGATGCAGGTCCGGGCTGCCTGCTGGACCCTGCCTGGAGCAGGTCCAGGGGTCAAGCGGCCCTCCTGGGGCGGGCACTGTCCTGCCAGCCTGCCCCATCCTCTCCTGACATTTGACACCGCGGGCCCCTCCTCCTCCCACTGCACACCTGAGGTATGAGAGCCGGGCTCGAGTCCCCAAGGCCTCAGTGGCATTTGCTCCAGAGGGCATTTGCCCTCCAAGTTGTTGGCTCCTCTCTCACCCCACACCCCTGTCCTTGCAAGCCCTGCCCTCATCCGCCCAGGCCTCGCACCCTGGCCTGTGTCTGCAGTCCTGCCCTGCCCCATCTCAGGGCTCCCGAGCCCCCGTGCTGCTCTGTGCCTGCCCCACGCTGGGCTTCCGTGCTGCTGAGGCCCCCCAGGACCCCAGCTGTCTCTGTAAGAGGAGGCGTAGGGTGTCCCGGGTGAGCCTAGAGGTTCTGATTGTGATGCGACCCTTAAGAAGCAGGTGGTGGCAGGGGAGGCGGCCCTGGGTGTAAGGACGGGGCTGTGGGCTTGCCCCAGGCATCCGTTTACTAACTGGGCAAGCCTCAGTTTCCCTTCTGTGAAATGAGCGATTCCATGCCCACCTTCTCTGGCTTTTGTGAGAAGTAGATGAAGACAAGTCCCACTGAGAAGTGCCACATGGACTCCAGCACTGTCTGTGTGTCTACACGGAGCCAGAGACCTACCCCTGCTCCCCAGAGGGAGGGGCAGAACCCCCCGGCAGGGCGCAGCCCTGACTTCGGATCTGGCCTCCGCAAGCGCCCTGCCTCCTCTGAGCCTTCGCTCCCGGTGTGCAGAGCAGAGAGGCTGCCGGCTGCGTGTCCAGAGACCTACCAGGCTGCACGGGCTGGGCCGTGATGATGACGCCGGCACCGGGGTGGTGCTGGCTCCTGCCTGAGAGCTGAGCGCTAATCCTGAGTGAATGGGCTGGGGACTGGCAGGTGGCCAGGGTTTGTAATTAGCTCTGGCCTGAGACGAGGCTGTGGTCGCTCTGCCATAGGCAGGGTTGGTGCCTGCGATGAGGGGGGACGTCCCCACCGCCTCTCCCTGCCGGGCGAGGAGCCGCCTGTGTGCCCTGACTGCCGCCCTCCCAGCAGGCAATGCGACTTTCATGAGTGCTCCACGCAGAAGCCCCTCGGAGCCTTCAAACCCTGTGCGGTGACGTGGGCACCTCCCACTTGAAGCCCTCTGGTTGTCCGGCCCTCTCGCGGGCAGGGTCGCCTCTCGCTGGCCACGCTGAGTCCCTCTGCCTGGAGCCCTGCCTCCCACTCTGGCTAAGTGAACTCCAGCGGGCAGGTTTCATCTGTGACCTTCCCTCCCCAGCGTGCTCCTCGCACGCCGGCAGTGCACGCACCGCATTTGAGGAAAACTAATTCATACTCCGTCGCACTGGACCCTGAACACCAGGAGGGCACAGATGCTGTCCGCCTCTTTGTGCTGCCTGAGCCAGGGGCTCCTAAGTGCCCGAGTGTGGAGCACCTGCACCCGGGTCCCCCTGTCCAGTCCTTGGAGTTGGTGTTGAAACAGGGCCCAGAGAGGCCCAGTGGCCCCAGGGCAGAGCCAGCGAGGGCCAGAGCAGAGTGGGCCTGGACAGCTGGCCCGGCTGGATCGGTTCTGTGGCCAAGTCCTGAGGGTCCCGGCTGCTTTCTCCACACAGAAACAGATGGGGGCTCCAGGGAAACGCTCAGACCCGAGACCTGCCGGCGCCTCGACTCGGCCTGCAGCGGAAGCTGTCTACACGGTGAGTCCTGGCCTGGTTCCCTCCGCCTCTCCCGTGCCCAAGTCCCGGCCGCTTCCATGGCTCAGATGTGGACCAGCCACGGGGAGGCTGGGTCTGCCTCAAGTGTCTTGTCTGTAAAATGGGGACAAGAACCTTTCCTGGCCGTATTTCAATAACGGCGAAGAGGGATGCCCGGGCAGGGGCACACAGGCGAGGGGCTGCTCCAGGCCATCCTGGGAAGGTCCCCTGCACTTCTGGAGCGAGGGGTGGTGAGGGTAGCAGAGGGGAGGAATGACCAGATGGCATGGCCTTCCTGTTTTCACTGCACAAACAGCCTCACAAACATTCCAAAGAGGAGGTCACAGTGCCCCGTGCCCTGAGCACCCTTAACGCATCAGCGCTTTCAATTGTGCCTTGGCGGACACCCCAGCCAGATCCTGCTGTTTCACACCCTGTCGTGTGGGGAGCATTCTCCACCATGGTCTTCCTCAATGTGTGAGGGAGGGGCTGCAGCCCCAGGGGCCCCAGGAGGCTGTGGCCTCCCAGCCCACCTCCCAGGGGACCAGCCAGGGCCTGCCCAAGGGGGCAGGGACCCTTCTTTCCCAGTGATGCTCCCGGAGCCCCACAGGTACTCTGGGGTGAGCCCCCCAGCGGGAGTCAGGGTCCCAGGCCTGGGAAATCAGGGGCCGCCTGCCACACAGGGTGCCTGCTCCTCCTCCTCCCCGGGCAGTGCCGAGCCCAGTGACATCCATGGGTTCCCCCAGGGACACAGCTCGGCCTCTGCATAGCCCTGCTGCTCCCTCTTCCTGGGCACACACTCACAGCCAGGCCCTCCCTCCAGAGCCAGGGACTGGTGGTAGCAAGAATGTCCCCATGGGGCAGGCTGACAATGGCTTCAAGTAGAGCAGGACGGTTCCCAGAGGGGCTGCCCCCCAGGGACGTCCGCCAGCTGCCCCCGCCTCCCCCACACTCTCTGCTCCCAGCTGCTCGGCCTGGTGTTCTCCCCACAAGGAGTTCCGTGTCAGCTGCTGATGGAAGCATTTCTCTCCCCACGCACGCACACACGCACACGCATGTGTGAGCCTATGCTCACGCGTGCACATAACTACAGAAAATGAGCAGCATCCTGGCCCTGGCTTCTTCCAGGATAAACAGCGTGGACTTTTGTTCCCTTGGTCTCGCTCGGGCCTGTAAACACACGCGATGAAACCTGTGCGCACTCCGTGTACGTTTTTATTAAATTCCTTCGTTGATTTTTCTACTTTCGCCCCCTACATAGTTCCTGTCACGCCCCTAGATAGTTCAACATGCAGTTATTTATTTATCTGGGAGGGAGGGGGAGAGGGAGTGAGAGCAAGCTTCCACAGAGCTGGCATTGTGGGGTAGCAGGTTAGGAAGACGGCCCAAGTACTTGGGCACCTGCTACCCACGTGGGCGACGTGGATGGAGTTCCTGGCTCCTGATTTTGGCCTGGACCAGCCCCAGCCACTGTGGCCATTTGGAGAATAAAGCAGTGGATGGAAGTTCTCTCTCTCCCCATCTCTCCTTCTCTCTGTAGTGCTGCCTTAAAAATAAATAAATCTTAAAGCAAACAAACAAAAAAACCCTTTGGGACTCAGGTTGACTTCTCCAGGGTAAGGCATAGAGGCCCCAATGCCTTAAGATCTCAGGGTGGCCGGTGCCGCGGCTCACTACGCTAATCCTCCGCCTTGTGGCGCCGGCACACTGGGTTCTAGCCCTGGTCAGGGCGCCGGATTCTGTCCCGGTTGCCCCTCTTCCAGGCCAGCTCTCTGTTGTGGCCAGGGAGTACAGTGGAGGATGGCCCAGGTGCTTGGGCCCTGCACCCCATGGGAGACCAGGAGAAGCACCTGGCTCCTGCCTTCGGATCAGCACGGTGCGCCGGCTGCAGCGGCCATTGGAGGGTGAACCAACGGCAAAGGAAGACCTTTCTCTCTGTCTCTCTCTCTCTCTCACTTTCCACTCCGCCTGTCAAAAAAAAAAAAAAAAAAAAATCTCAGGGATGTGATGGGAGGCGCCAGGGCTTTGCTAAGCCCTGGAAGCAAGGGCCGGCTACTTGGGGCTGGGCCTGGGCCCGGAACAGTGACAACACCAGGAGCATTTGTTGCACGCCTGCTGCGTGCCAGGCACCATGGCAGGGCTTTGCACAGACATTGTTGCCATTTTCACCATCTTTTCTGGTTGTTGCTGCTGACTTGCAGAAAGATGATCAATTTGAACCTACTGGCTTTCTGCAGAGTAACTTGGCAGAGTTCATTCCTCAATCCTGACATCACAGAATCCGCTGTCCATTCCTTGGGATTTTCTGTGAATCCTGACTTGTCCTCTGTGAACAATGGAAGTTTCACGTCTTCCTTCCCAATGCCCTACCTCCTATTTCTGTTTTTCTTGCTCTCATGCACTGCCTAAGCCATCTGGTTCAATGAGGAGCAGGAGTGGTGGTAGCCGTCATCTCTGTTTTGTCCCCAAGTTCTGCAGTGGTTTTTAGTATTTTCCCCTTCCACTTTTTTTTTGGATGGGTATTTGGTTTTCTATCATTCTTCTTTTCTAATTCATATATGTAAGGCTATGCATATCCCTTTAGCTATAACTTGAGCCACATCCCATGAGTTTTGCTATGCTGTGTGTTCATTGTCTTTCAGTCTATATTTTCTTTTTTTTAATTTTTATTTTTTAAATTTATTTTGACAGATAGAGTTAGACAGTGAGAGAGAGAGAGAGAGAGAGAGAGAAAGGTATTCCTTCCATTGGTTCACCCCCAGATGGATGCTACGGTCAGAACTATGCCGATCTGAAGCCAGGAGCCAGGTGCCTCTCCCTGGTCTCCCATGCGGGTGCATACACCCAACCACTTGGGCCATCCTCCACTGCCTTCCCGGGCCACAGCAGAGAGCTGGACTGGAAGAGGAGCAGGCGGGACTAGAACCCAGTGCCCATATGGGATGCCGGTGCCACAGGCAGAGCATTAACCAAGTGAGCCACGGTGCCGGCCCCTCTATATTTTCTATTGAGAATTATTCCACTGGTTATTTCCTGAGTGTTTTTCTTAATTTTTGAATGTTTACTTTTTGTTATCATTTTTAAAAATCTTTAGCTAATTTCACTGTGATCAGACAATATATTCTATAAGACTTTTTAAAAAAATTATTTATTTATATATTTGAGAGGTAGAGTTACAGAGAGAGGAAGAGACAGAGAGAAAGGCCTTCCATCAGCTGACTGACTCCCCAGATGGCCACAAGCCAGGAGCCAGGAGATTCTTCCGGGTCCAGTGGCCCGGTGCCTGGGCCATCTTCTACTGCTTTCTCAGGCCGTAACAGAGAGATGGGTTGGAAGAAGAGCAGCCAGGACTCGAACTGGTTCCCATATGGGATTCCAGCGCCACAGGTGATGGCTTTACCCGCTATGCCACAGCACCAGGCTCTCTATAAGACTTTTATCCTTTGAGATCTTTTTTTGTTTGTTTGTTTTTTGACAGGCAGAGTGGACAATGAGAGAGAGAGATAGAGAGAAAGGTCTTCCTTTGCCGTTGGTTCACCCTCCAGTGGCCGCTGTGGCTGGCGTGCTGCGGCCGGCGCACCTTGCTGATCCGAAGGCAGAAGCCAGGTACTTCTCCTGGTCTCCCATGGGGTGCAGGGCCCAAGCACTTGGGCCATCCTCCACTGCACTCCCGGGCCACAGCAGAGAGCTGGCCTGGAAGAGGGGCAACCGGGACAGAATCCGGCGCCCCAACCAGGACTAGAACCCGGTGTGCCGGCGCCGCAGGCGGAGGATTAGCCTAGTGAGCCGCGGCGCCGGCCGTGAGACCTCTTGATACTTCTTTATGGCTCAGTGTGTATTCCGTATGTGCTTGATAAAAGAACTTGTGTCACACGAGGTTGATGAGTGTCCTCCGCATGCCAGTTAGGTCGAGTTTGTTGACTGTGTTGTTAAAGTAGTCCATATCCTTATTGATCCTTATTGATTTTTCTCCCTATTTTATCAGTTGTTAAGAGGAGAGAGTTAAAAATCCGCCAGTATGATTGTGGATTTGTATATAACTATGTCAACTTTTTCACATGCAAAAGCACCCATGGTGTGTTACAACAGAAAAGGAAACCTGTGCTACTCTAATTTGCTTCTTAAAATTTGACCTACTAGGGCCGGCGCCGCGGCTCACTAGGCTAATCCTCCGCCTAGCGGCGCCGGCACACCGGGTTCTAGTCCTGGTCGGGGCGCCGGATTCTGTCCCGGTTGCCCCTCTTCCAGGCCAGCTCTCTGCTGTGGCCAGGGAGTGCAGTGGAGGATGGCCCAAGTGCTTGGGCCCTGCACCCCATGGGAGACCAGGAAAAGCACCTGGCTCCTGGCTCCTGCCATCGGATCAGTGCGGTGCGCCGGCCGCAGCGCGCCGGCCGCGGCGGCCATTGGAGGGTGAACCAACGGCAAAAGGAAGACCTTTCTCTCTGTCTCTCTCTCACTGTCCCCTCTGCCTGTCAAAAAAAAAAAAAAAAAAAAAAAATTGACCTACTAGCCGGCGCCGCAGCTCACTAGGCTAATCCTTCACCTTGCGGTGCCGGCAACTAGGTTCTAGTCCCGGTCGGGGTGCCGGATTCTGTCCCGGTTGCCCCTCTTCCAGGCCAGCTCTCTGCTGTGGCCAGGGAGTACAGTGGAGGATGGCCCAAGTGCTTGGGCCCTGCACCCCATGGGAGACCAGGATAAGTACCTGGCTCCTGCCATCGGATCAGCGCAGTGCACCAGCCGCAGCGCGGCGGCCATTGGAGGGTGAACCAACGGCAAAGGAAGACCTTTCTGTCTGTCTCTCTCTCTCACTGTCCACTCTGCCTGTCAAAAGAAAAAAAAAAAAAAACTCGACCTACTAAGAGCACAGATCTGGAGTGGCCGGGCAGCCTCGTTCTTCCGCTCACCGGTGTTGCTGCTGGAACTCTGAGCCTCGGCTCCGTCATCTGTTAACGGGGACGGGGAGCGAGCATCGCACTTGCAGCTTGCAGAGATGCTGCGATCTCGCACACCTTGAATTCCACACCGTGAGCTCCCACCCGGCTCCACCACCTGCCTTCCTCCACTCCAGAGTGATGAAAACTCGCTCAGCTTCAGCTTCCCTGCAGCACCCCCAGCCCGCCCCCAAAGCTGAGAGCCAGGCTCCTCCTCCAATGACCTCCCCTTCCTGCCTGAGACTCTTTCTTCCCGGGCCTCTAGAATATTCCACCGTCTCCTAACACAAGCTTCGCTTCTTTCCTCCAGATCCTCGTACCTCCCATTTCTTTTCCTCTTGCTTTTTTGCACAGAGCTCTGTTAGGACAGTGAAGAGGAGTGGTGACAGTGGGCATCCTTGTCTTGTCCCCTGATGTGCCTACACCTCCCCATCCCCTTCACCGCTCCTCCCCGAGAACCCCCGACCCTCAAACCCTGGAGTAAACATCAGAGCCCAGTCCTGGGACCCCCCCCCCCCTTTGATCGTCGCTCCCTCCCAGGGCGAGCTCAGTGAGCCCTGGCTCTGACAAGCACCACTGTCCTGACCACACCCAGATTCCTGCTGCAGCCGGGCCATCTCCTGCACACCTCCGTCAACCCAACCCAATTCTTTACCCATCGAGCGCCTCTTCACACGGCATCCTCGTCGCAGTAAACAACCTCTGTCCTTTCCTTCTCTCAACCCCTGCCCACAGCTGACCCACCAGAAGATCCCGGTCCAGGCTCCCACCCTTTGGCGGCTCCATCCCTGTTGCTGGCAGGAGTCATTTCCAATTCTTTTTTTTTTTTTTTAAATTGATTTGAAAGGCAAGTTACAGAGAGGCAGAGAGGAGAGAGAGAGAGAGAGAGAGAGAGAGAGAGAGAGAGAGAGATCTTTCATCCGCTGGGTCACTCTCCAAATGGTTGCAACAGCTGGAGCTGAGCAGATCCAAAGTCAGGAGCCAGGAGCTTCCTCCAGGTCTCCCACATGGGTGCAGGGGCCCAAGGACTTGGGCCATCTTCTGCTGCTTTCCCAGGCCATAGCAGAGAGCTGGGTCAGAAGTGGTGCAGCCAGGACTTGAATTGAAGCCCATATGGGATGGCGGTGGCTTTACCTGCTACGCCACAGTGCCCGCCCCCAGCCACTCCTGGTTCTTGCCTGGAGTCCCGCACTTGACCTCCAATGAGCCCCTGGTGCTGACCCTTGCTGCACAGTCTACCCGGACGCAGCCCGAGGGGCCCTGCTAGAACAGCGAGAGCCCTGAGAAGCGGACGCCAAGATGCACTGGGCCTTGGCTCTGATTACAGGGCCCCTGTGGAAGATGAAAGGGGATGGGCTGGGGGAACCTGGGGGAGCCGGCAGAGGGAATGGAGGCAGGAGCCCCCGGCTGGGAAGGCTCAGCACGGCCCCTGGGAGCACCCCCTACAGGGCTTGCCTTACACGTGGTGAATTCCAGAGTCCAGCATCTGGGGCTCTCCGTCAGTTCTGGCTCCAGAAGCAGTGGCCGGTGAGGCAGTTTTCAACATCACCATGGCCTTGAGGGGTTCCCCTCTCACCCATGTCCAGGTCAGGGCCTCGGGGTGGCTTCCTCTGCCAGAGAGGACCCTTCCTGCAGCCATCGCCAGCCTCCTCCTGGCTCTGCTCTCTGTTCAGTGTGTCCCCCACCTCCGTCTTCCTTCTCGGTGCCTCTCCACAGCCCTCATGGCGACCTTTTGCTTCTGCACACAGTAGATGCACAGCCACCAACTGCTGGGGGATGGGCAGAACCTGTTCTAAACTGTCCAGGGTGCCTGGGTCCCTGGGGGCTGGTGCTGGGCACAGGGGACACATGGCAGGCGTAGAGTGTCCGTACTCAGATCCGCACGCTCCTCAGTGGTGTCCAGACACCTCCCCCCACTCTGCTCCCAGCCCCTGCCTGGCCCCATGTCCCCACCCTTGCCCTCAGCCTGTGGTCCCTCCCACTCCTCCCTGCAGCCCGAGGGAGCTTGCTAACACACGACTCTGATGTGCTGTTGAAAGGACTTTCCCAGCCTTGCCTCTGTGTTCCGTCAGAGCAGTGGGTTGGTTCATGCCGGGTGCGCCATGCCCTTGGCCCAGAGCTGGGGTGTTCCTTCTCCCATGAATGCACCTCCTTACATCCCCCCATGGACCCCAATGTCCAGGACCCTCCAATGAGGTCCAGGCCCAGGGCAGCTGACTTCGGCTCTGGCCTCAGTCTGATAGGAGGCAGACCTTGGCACCGAATTCTTGCCCTTGCCAGGCTGGTGACCATTTGGGTAGCACCAGCGTCTCCTGGACAGCAGGAGGTCAAAAGGCCTAGACCTCCTGGGTCTCAGTCAGCTATAGCCTAACGTAGATCAGAGTCAGCCCCAAGCCTGGATACAACACTGCACAGCACATGCCTGCAGGTAGCCCACTGGGAGACCTGCACAGCCCTCTCCCAGCAGGTGCACCTCGGGGAGGCTGCCCCCTCGTGACCAGGGGAAGCTGGGAGGTGCACTGCTGACAAGGTCGCACCCTGCATCTCCCAGCCTGGGGATGCCGGTCACACCCCCGGTGCAGACACAGCCGGCAGGTCAGGACTTGTCACAGCTGTCACTCAGAGCCTCACCTCGGCAGCCTCCCTCGGCCTCAGCCCCCAGCTGCGGCTGCTCCTGCCCTGCCGGAGGCACACCAGCCTACCCGAAATGGGGGTGGGGTGGGGGGTGTCTCAGAGCAGGACGCTCTCCTCTGGCTCTGGCAGCCCCTGGCCTCTCTGGGCTCATGCGTGCAGGGCGGTGCGAAAAGCTGGACTGGAGGGGGCAGGGACCACCTGCGGGGTCCCAGGAGGCTTCGCTGCTGAGATGCCAGGCTGGGGGATGCTCCCCTTTCTGTCTGTGGCCAGCAACATCCGACTCAAGGGGCTGTCAGATCTGTCAGATCTGTCTGGGTGGGCGAGTGGGCGGGCATGGGCTGCTGATGGACATAGCCCACCCTGTGCCCTGGGCTCTCAGATCCTGCAAGCCAGAGCAGCCCCTGCAAATTACCTTCCCCTGGAAATGGGCTCCTCCTTGGGGAGGAAGCAGGTCAGATGCCTCCTCCTAAGACCCACCCTCTTTGTGGCCCAGAGACCCCTTGAATGGGTCCCCAGGGCCGGCGCCATCCTGTGGCTGATGCCCTTGAAGCGAGGGTCTCCCAAGCGCCAAATGGTTTATTACGCGGGTTTTCATGCCTGGCTGCCTCTTGATGCCTCCCCTCCCCTCCCACTCCCCCCGCCCTCCACCCTCCTCCCGCCTCTGAGCACCACCTGTCTCTCCAGCCTGCGCGGCAACCCCTGCTTGACTGTTGCCAGGGAAACCGCCTCCTTGGCAACCAGCCGGCATCTATATGACAGGCACACTTGGGAAGCTGGGGCTTCTGCCTCCAGTTTAGGCTGTTGGTGGACTCTGCTCTGGAGCCCAACAGGATCTGTCCGAGGGTCCAGGCTGTGAACACAGAGAGGGGGAAGGGGGAGCAGCCCACCTTCCTCAACGATCTTTCTACAGCTGCTTATTAAGCACCTATAGTTGGCCTGACTGTGCAGAGCCCTTCATGTGCAGTCTCACATTTAATCCTGCAAGATCGATATAATCATTCCCATTGTACAGATGGGGAAACTGAGGCACCTGTGGCTGGATTCAGAGCCAAGCGCTCAACCTATTCCTGTCGGACCCCAAAGCCCTTTCTATCCTCTTGAGGCCTCTAGGCTGGGGCAAGAGTGAGTGTGGCCCTGGACGTTCTCAAGTGAGGGAGGTGTCTCCGGCCAGTGGGGGGATACCGGGGCCATGACCCTGACATGAACCAGTGCAGGAGCCATGGAAGTCAGGCCTCCCACCCCAGCTGAGCCCACCATTCACTCGGCTTCCCTGGGAGGGGGCTCGGCCTGGTGGGCCATGGTCAGAGTGGGTAGTGGGAACCCGAGGCTTCCAAGAGGAGCATGTAGGTGATGACTGGAGCCCAAGCAGCCCGGGACGGGTGGCTGAGTCGGTGAAAGGAAACTGACGGCAAGGGGAGGCGAGGGGCATGCTGAGAGCCAGGGCTGGGCTGGGGACCCCGCAGGGCACGGCCTTGATGGATGAGGAGAGTGACCCCAGCGACTGCCAGGTTAGGGGGGCCTGGAGGGTGTGAATGGGTGGGGGGACCCTCACCTGGAGCCAGGGTGGATGCCGGGAGTGCATCCTGGGAGAGCAGAAGCCCCAGGTGGCTGCCAGGCCCTCAAAGGGAAGACAACTCACCGGGTGGGGCCCCGAGCAGTCCTGGCCGGGGAAGCAGGGGGCAGGGAGCAGTCAGCCTGGACAGGCAGGGAAGGGGTGAGTGACAGAGCAGAAATGGCAGGCAGAAAGGCGTGTGGTCTGAGCGTGCACAGCGTGGCGAGGCAGCCCTAACTGTCCCTGGGCATGGAGCCTGGCAATGGCCCGCAGGGAGGCCGCAGGGAGGCCGGCTCTGGGGCCCGGGCGCTGCCTCTCTGCACGCCTGTTTCCTGTTCTGACTGCCGTGCTCTGTCTCCTGCAGGCCCTGCAGCACCGAGAGACGGAGGTTTACGCCTGCATTGAGCAGGAGGCCTGCAACCCACCCTTAGCCGGGAACCCTGTCTCCCAGGTACACAGGGCCCCGGGCAGCACGCCTGGCTCCTCCTTGCCTTTCGTCTGTGAAACGGGAGTTGCTGGACCCTGGATGTGAGCCGCCGGCTGCTGAATGCCAGCCCCATCCGATGCAGAACCCCCGCTCCATCCCTTAGCAGCTGTGCAGCCCGAGCCAGCTTGGCTGACCTCTCTGAGCCTGAGTGTCCTCATCTGTAAACTTAGAGACCCCACAGCACCCCCTCCGGCCCCTAGACTTTCCTGGAAGGAGAATATTGTGCTTAGACGGCCTCCTGGGACCCAGCAGGCACCCAGCAGTGTGAGTGGTCCTGGCTACCACTGGGCACAGGGCCGGGTCGTCAGGCACGGGGTGTTAGGCCTCAAGATGTCCCAGGCTGATGTTGACCAAAGTTAGAGCCGGAAAGTGAGGCTCCCCTGGCCACAGCTGTCATGGTCACGATAGCTTGTCACTTCATCACACTCTCTTCCTCTCTCTCTTTTGAAAATATTTATTTATTTATTTATTTATTTCAAAGGCAAAGTGACAGAGGGAGGGAGAGAGATCTCCCACCCACTGGTTCACCCCTAAATGGCCACAACTCCATTCCAGTCTCCTATGTGGGTGGCAGGGGCCCAAGGACTTGGGCCGTCCTCTGCTGCTTTCCCAGCTGGGGAGCCTGGCACAGCCCCAACCATTGCAGCCATTTGGGGAGTGAACCAGAGGATGGAAGATCTTTCTGTCTCTCTGTTGCTCCCTTTCTTTCTGCCTTTTAAATAAATAACACATCTTGAAAAAAAAAAAACCAACCCCTCAGTTGGCTCACCTATAAAATGGGCGAGCAATACTGTCTTCCCCACCTTGGAGGAGTGGACGGGGCTGGTGCTTGGCCTCCCCTGGCCCCGGCTGGCACTATTTGTTCAGCCTCTTGTTATCAAAGCCTGAGCTAGGCCCAGACTGCAGGCAGGGCCTCCGCACCCTGGGACCCCGAGGGTAGCAGGGCTCCTCCCTGCCAGGCCCTGGGGTGTTCAACAGGAGAACCGGTCTGTTCCTGCCCTCTGGGAGCAGTCTTCTGGAATAGGGTCATTGACCCCAGGGGCACAGAGACCTATTTGTAGCCCTATCGTGACGGGCAGGCTCTGTGCGGGAACCCGGCCAGGGCCCGGGCTAGCTCCCTGCCTGAAGCAGGTAGGAAAGACCGTGGGCTGGAGGCAGAGGGCAGGGCTGGCGGCTGGCGGGGGGCTGCAGCTGGAGGACAATCCCCCTGTCAGTGCTGAACAGGAAGCAATCTGTTTGCTTCCGACTGAAGCTAAATTAGTGCAGGTCCGTTCTTTTCCTACCTAATGTTTTCTTCTTCTTCTTTTTGAACCTAGGGGAAATTGCACAGAGTAGAGGATGACCACGAATTCAACGAGGTCTATGAAAACCTCTAGGATGTGGCCCCCGATCAAAGGCCCCATCCTCCATCAGAGGCAGCCCTGGGCCCTGGAGGACTTGCTCTGACCCAGAGTCGGCCCCTGCAGTGACAGACCTCACCTCACAGCTAAGACCCTTCCAGCACCTCCCACACCTTTGGGTCTTTGCCCAAGCTCATCCCTTCCTCTACTGCCCAGCCAGCAAAATGCTACCCAGGGCCTGTATGGACGCCACCCCTTCCTGGAGCCCTTCTGCCCCGCTCATACCCCACAGAGGGGTGCGTGGGGCTCTCTCGGGGCCTGCCCCACAGCCCAGCCTGCATGGCAGATCCGGAGCTGCTCAAGAGGGACCCAGCAGGACCCCAGGGGCCACGTGGAGGAGTGACCCGCCGACTCCACCTGGGAGCCTGGAGCCGGGAGGGCCTGTGCACCTGTGGTGGCCAGTGGCAGGGATGGCGGGGTAGGGAGGGAGCTGGCCAGACAGGACCCCAGTGAGTGACCTGAAGCTGCCCTCCCCGCCTGCCTTTTACCCTCTGCTCTGCACGTGTCTTGGCCTGGGCCCCAGCTGCTCCTCCTGCTCTCTACATTCTCCTCTCTCTGCGAACCCTGACCCAACCACCTGGGCCTTCCTGCAGTCCTCTCTGTCCTTCTCCGCCTTACCCTGTCCCTGGCCCCTGGAGCAGTGCCTGTGGCAGCTGCCTCTCTCCCACTGTGGTCCAGCTGTGTGGCCCGGTGCCCGGGGCCTCCCCGGGATGGGCAGAGGAGTCCCCCTGTGTGGCAGAAGCCCAGGCCCCCGTGCACAGCGGCTCCCCAGTGCCTGGTCCTGAGCCATTTCTGCTGCCCCACGCGCTCCTGTCGCCACCCGTGTCACCTGGGGAGAGCCCACAGTGTAAGACAGGCTCAGAGTCTCGGCCACCAGGCTGAGGACTCTGCCCTCTCTGCTTCTCTCCCTGGCTTTCTTACTGTGTGCGCATTTGTGCAGTGGGCAGGTCAGTCCTCCCTCCCACTCCCCAGGCTGCCCCAGAAGTTGGGGTGCCCTTGTACCCAACCCCAAAGGTACCCAGGGGGTATAGCGTAGCTGAACACAAGCTCCAGCCCCGACCCCTAAGCAGCCTCGGGTCCCAGCTCCTGGGCGCAGGCAGCAGCTTTGGCGATTCATGCAGGGCGGGCCCTTCCCCGCAGGGGTAGAAAGGCTGGGGCTGGGGTGGTACAGGCTGGCCCTGGGAGTCCTTAGGCTGTCTGCAAGGGGGGCGTCAGGCCTCATTGGGCCTCCCAGCCCACACAGCCAGCGGGGAGGCCCCTGCTCCCCACGAGTCCAGGTTTAATGAACTCCATGTCTGTTCTGGGAGAGAAGCTGCCCTGTGCAGTGCGGCCTTCCAGGTTCCCAACTCCTGCTGCCTCCGGGAGTGGGCAGTGGAGAGCCAGAAAGACCAGGGGAGGCCACCTTGCCAGGGGCCTGCTGGGGACTTCAGCGAGGACCCTGGCCCAGGCCCCACCCCAACAGCCTTGCCATGCAAGGCTGAGCCTGGTTTGGGACAAGGCAGGCTAGGAGGCCAGCAGGTGCTGGGTTTCCAGTGAGGAGAGAGGCAGGGAGAAGGCTGTGGGGGAAGGGCAGAGCCCTAGCAGGGCTGTGGCACAGGCAGGATGGGGACGAATGTCCTGAGGACTGAGTGAGCACCTGCTGAGAATAGGGGGGAGTGGCAGGGTGCGGCTGAGGGAGGAGGAGGGGACAGAGAGGGCGGTGGGCCCAGCTCCTCCAGGGCAGGCTGGGTCTGACTCTGACACATGCGGAGGGGAGAAGAGACAGGGGCTTCCCAGTGGCCGTGTAGACTTGGGCAAGTCGCTGCCCACTGAGCCTGGCTGTCCAGTGCCATGGAGCTCAGCACCTCTCAGAGGGAAGGGCTCCTGTGGAGGCCCGGCAGGTGTGTGCTTCCTTCTCCATCCTGGAAGAGAGGAGTCTGCTTGGGGGCAGAGTGGGAGGTGTCTACCATGGAGGGTGCAGTAGGGGCGGGGGTGGGGTGCACAAACCTCCAGGGAGGTGGGGACCCAGGCCCTGCAGCTGCCCTGCAAGGAACAATTGGGCTGCCCAGAGCATGAGGGTGCAGAGAGGTTTGGGGGGGCTAGGGAGGGAGAAAGCAGAGTTGGGGGGTGTCCTGGGCCCTCGGGGCAAGGCTGGGGCGAGAGGGTGGGTCAGAGCAAGACAGGGAGAGGCAAAGATGGCCTGGGAGTGCTCCAGGGAGGGGTTGCTGTGGGGACCCAGGAGGAAGGAAGCCTTGGCCCTGGGGGTGGCCCCAGGCTTAGTGTGAGCAGAATCCCTGCCCCAGGCCCCCCTGCCGGCCCCAACCCCAGGTCAGCCCTGCCTCTCTCCAGACAAGGGGTTTCCCAGTCTCTCCCCTGGCCCAGCCCACCCTGCCCTCCCTCCTAGGTCTTGCCAAGGCCACCCTCAGAGCCTTGGGCATTGGAAACATTTCAGCCACCTGGACACCTCAGGCACCCCCGCCCTCCAGGCCCCTGTGTGCCCCTCTCCTGGTTTGGCCTCCAGCCTCCCTTCGGCTCCTGCTCCTCTCAGCACGTTTGTGCGAAAATTATTTCTGGAACCAAGCCCAGGAGCTTGAAGTGGGTGTGGGAAGCGGTGCCCCCCCCCCACAAAAATTTCCAGAGGGTTCTGCACAGCAGAGTTTCCATGGGAACACGTGCGGCTCCACACGCGCCTCGGTGGGGCTGGGGCCCCCTGCACACTGAGATCGCGGGATCTTGGTGTGGGGCCTCGGCGGGGGCAGCCACGGTTCCTTGGCCACCAGCGCTCACTGCCTTGAAATCAAGTTACGGGCAAACCCGCCGCTGCTGCCTTCTTCTTCTTCTTCTTCTTTTTTTTACATTCTAATTTAAAGGCCACGCTCCATTCTGAGGCTGCCTCTGGGGTTTCGGGGATGGATTTTTGTGCAGTTCAATAGTTTTTTAGCAGACAGCTCCTGCCGCACAGGTGGGCTGCCGCCTCGGCCCGGCCAGGCTGGTGGCACCTCTCCAGCCCTCCCAGATGCCAGAGGGTGCCATCGGCCCACCTGAGGGGCTTCCAGAGCTGGGGACATCGGTGCGAAGTTCTGAGACACCTTCCTTCTGGGCCCGTGCCCCTGAGCCGGGCCCTAATTACGGCCTCTGACTGGGCGGGCGCCGGTCTGTCCACCCCTGCACTTGGTGGTAGCATGAGCTTTGTGGGTGTGTACCCAGCAGGTGACACAGCGCATTGTGATAAAACATTTAAACAACTGCAAAGTGACATTCCCTTTGATGCACCGGCCGCCTCCTGCCCTGTGTCCCGTGCCCTTCCCAGGAGGCGGGGAAGTCACTCGGTCCCCGGGAGCGTTTTCTTCCGTGCTGTTCTCACGGCCTCCGTGTAGGCAGACGTGCGCGTCGGGAACGTGCGGTGTTGGCTGCGGTGCTGTCAGCCTGTCTTTGTTCCTGCAGCCCGAGACGGCGCGGGAGCTGCCAGACTGTAATCATGGCCAGGGTTCGGCAGGACGGGGGGAGCCTAATCTAATCAGGCTGCTGTGGATGGCCGCTCGGGTTGTAGAGGATTTTTCAGTCTCACAGAAGGCGCTGCCGGCAACATCGTGGCTGGGCCTCCTTGGCTGCATCTGCAGAACTTTCCGGGGCTGGTGAGGAGGGATCCCTGGGCCCAGCCCGCGGCATTTGCTGTTTCAAAGCAATGCTGCCGAACCGTCAGGCACGGAGAGGGTACTGGCTCTCTTCCTCAGATTCTTTATCTGCAGTATCACGTTTAATCCTGCAAGCTAGCCTGCAAAGCCGGGGGCTGGTCTCCCGTCTGCAAAGAGAGGTTGACTGGATAAAGGACGCACAGCCCAGGCAGAGCAGCCTGGGATGGCTCTGAGTGCAGTCCTGCCACCCCCACGGGTCAGGTGAGGCGGCGACGGGGGACAGAAAGAGCCACTGAAAGCCTTGATGCCCCTGGGATTAGGGACGCCCATGGGAGAGATGGCCTGTCACCTGCATGTCACTCATACCCAGGTTCTCAAAATTGTGTGTGTGGGGGGGGGGGGGGCGGAGAGAGAGAGAGCGATCAAGCCACCTGCCTTCCAGTGGCCCGGGGCCTTGGGGAAATGGAGGCGGGTCAGTGGAGCCGCTGGGCCTGCACCTCCCTGGCAGCCCACTCTGCTGTGAGGCCGGATCCTGGCAGCCTGGTCGTTAGGAGCCCGGGTCTCCCCTGGAAGTTCTCAGGCACAGCAGGCCTGGAGGTGTGAGCCGCCTCTCAGAAGCTGTATAATCCGGGATAATGCGGCTGTAATGGGCGTTGTGCTGCCTTTACGTCCTCTCATTACCTGAAAACTGACTTTGCAAATGGCTGATCTGGACTGGGTTTTATTTCACCACTTTGTGGACCTTCAGGGATTCAGGAGTGCTGGGTTTTTCTGTCTCCCTCTTGCCTGCTCCGGTACATGCCACAGGCCCCGATGGGCCAAGGCTTGGGGCTTAGCCGCATGCGGGGCTCACCACCACGGGCCTGGCCGAGCCAGGGACTGCTTTTCTCCCCAGATCTCCCCTTCCCCCCATCGGAGCCTCCTCCCAGCCCTTCCCAGTCTCTGTGCCCAGTGGACCTCTGCAGAGCGCAGCTCTGACCACACCGCCCCCTCCCAGAACCCTGCACCTCCTGCAGTCACGCTCAGGTCACTGTAACAAGGTGCCGAGGTCACTCAGCGGGGAAAGAGCTGTCTGTCAACACCGGTGCTGGGAGAGCCAGATCCACACGTGCAGGGCGATGCTGGCCGCCTACCTCACACCCCACCCGCGGCGTCACAGTGACTCCCACTGGCACAGCGTGGGTGCTGAACTGCTCAGCCCCTACTCAGAGCGCTCCCCATCCCCTGTTTCTTTGGAGGGCTTTTGTCCAGCTCAGACCATGTCCCAGGCCCTGTGCTGCAGCTGGGATAAGACACAGACAGCTCTGTCCTCCCAGGGTCCACCAGCGCGTTCCCGAACAGCTCACGCTGGCCCAAAGTCTCCCCGAGCCCTGCCGTGGCTGCTCACACCCCAGCCTGAACCTCTGCTCCTCCCCTTACTCTCTGCCCTGGGGCCCTTCACCCCCTTCTTTGCCTGAGGAATTCCCTGCTCCGATGCCGCCTCCTCCATGCAGTCCTCCCTAAACCCCTCCCCACTGAGCCACTTACTCATTCCTCTCATGCTCTGACCTCCTGGCACAACATCAGTCCTCACGTCTGTCTCCCCAGGAGGCCCCGAGCTTCCCCAGCACGGCCAACACCTTATTTGTCTCTCTTTGTCTCTGCCAGACTCGTGGTCCGGGCTTGAGAGCCATTTGTTCAAAGAATAAATGAATCTTCCCCTCTGCCAGCATTTCAGGGCCTATTCTTGCTGAAAGAGGGAGCGCGACTTTTTTCCCGTTTCTAGGAAGGGATCGCTAATTGGTCTGTGACCCATTTCACGGAGGTGAACATGGAGGAGACACTTGACTGTAGCCACAACGGCAGGAGAGGCAGTGAGGGCAGCGCAAGCCCTGGGAAGCCGGCTCCCCTCCCGCCTGACGGGCTTGGGAGGCCATGCTCAGCCCTTGGAGGCAGGCGGGGCCCAGGCATGCAGCAACGGCCAGCACCCCTCCCCCCAGTCAATCCTGCTGCCAACGCTGTCAAGAGGCTCCGGAGACACGTGCCTGTGGCCTGTGCGTCAGGGGCCGTGAGCCCTGTTCGGGTGGTTCTGCTAATTGATCCCAGAAGCCCTTGTCACTGCCAGGGGAACGGCTCAGAAATGTCCTCACCGCTGTCTCTCGCTCCACCAGATGGCCTCCCTCCCACCTCAGCTGCCTCTGGGCTAGGTCAGACCCCCCTGACCATGTGGGGCCTGGGACCCTCTAAGTGGCCAGCAGAACTGAGCCCAGCTGGCAGGGGGAGGCGGGGAGGAGACCCTCATGTTCCAGCCCGGTCGCAGCCACCCTGAGACAGGCTGGATCCGTGCAAGGCTCAGAGCTGCTCACTGAGGCCCTGGCCTCCAAGGCACCCCTCCTTCCCCCAGCAGTCCTCAGGCCTCCCCAGCCCTCAGCACAAGTGCAGTGGGCGGAGTCTAGGGAGGAGGGACACGGAGCCAAGTGACCAGGGCTAAAGTGAATGCTGTCACGGTCACTGTGATGATCGGCTCTGAGCTTGCCCCGCCCAGCAGTCCTGTGTCCGGGGGAAGTGAGGGAACCTGGAGGGACCGCAGCAGAAGCTGACCCCTGCCGCTCTGGCCTTGAGCCTGCACCCCCACTGCCCACATCTCCGCGCTGAGGGCGCCCCCCCTTCCCGGGTTCTGCCTGGGGATCGAGTCTGGGGTGCTTCTGGGACCTGCTAGTGAGTAGGGGCTTCTCTGTGAGGCAGTGAGAATGTTCTGGAATTCGACAGCGGCGATGGTTGCACAACCTTGTGATTGTGCCAAAAGCCACCGAGCTGTGCGCTTTGGGAGGGTGGATTTTATGGTATGCGAATGATATCTCGATAAAACCAGAGAAATACGGCCTTGTTTCAACGCCTTCTGTGTCCCCTGTTCCTTAGTCCCAGGACAGAGCCTGCACTTGCGCACACACACACACCGGGCACCTGGCCCAGCTCCCTTTCCACCCCAGCCTGCCCTGCCCCGTCCCCTTTCCTCCTTTCCTCCCCTTCCCACAGCAGGGATCCTTGGAGACTCTGCCTGATAGGTAGGAGGGCGGGCATCTTCACAAAGTTCGTGGAAACGCGAGTTATAAAAAAACTATGTGTGCATTTCATAAACATTTTGCGTCAAAATGAACATTTTTAAAAAAGATTTATTTTATTTATTTGAAAACAGAGAGAGAGAGAAAGAGAGAGAGAGAGAGAGAGAGAGAGAGAGGTCTTCCATCCACTGGTTCACTCTCCAGATGGCCACAACGGGTGGAGCTGTGCCGATCCAGAACCAGGAGCCAGGAGCTTCTTTTGGGTCTCCCACGTGGGTGCAGGGGTCCAAGGACTTGGGCCATCTTCTACTGCTTTCCCAGGCCGTAGCAGAGAGCTGGATCAGAAGAGGAGCAGCTGGGACTCAAACCGGCGCCCGTATGGGATGCCAGCACTGCAGGTGATGCTTTTCCTGCTGCGCCACAGCACCAGCCCTGATGTACTCCCTTCTTTTTAAAAAAAAAAATTTTTATTTGAAAGGTAGAGTTACAGAGAGAGAGATATAGAGAAAGAGAGAGAGAGAGGGAGAAAATCTTCCATTTGCTGGTTCACTCCTCAAATGGCTGCAATGGGCAGATCAGGGCAGATGTGAATCCAGGAGCCAGGAGCTTCTTCCTGGTCTCCCACGTGGGTGCAGGGACCCAAGCACTTGGGCCCTCCTCCACTGCTGTCCCAGGTGCATTAGCAGAGAGCTGGATCAGAAATAGAGGAGCCAGACTTCAGTTGGCACTCATATGGGATGCCAGAGCTGCAGGTGGCAGCTTTACCTGCTACACCACGGTGCCAGTCCCAATGTAGTCACTTTTATAAAAGATTTATTTATTTATTTATTTTAAAGTCAGAGTTACTTTATTTATTACTTTTATTTATTTGAGAGACAGAGAAAGAGAGAGGGAGAGAGAGAGAAAGAGTGAGAGAGGAAACAGAGATGTCTTCCATTTGCTGATTCACTCCCTAGATAGCCACAACAGCCAGGGCTGAGGCAGGGTGAATCCAGCAGTTCCATTCAGATCTCACGTAGATGCAGGGGCCCAAACACTTGGGCCATCTTCTGCTGTTCTTTCCAGGCCATTAGCTGGGGGCTGGATCAGAAGGAGAGCAGCTGGGACACAAACCAGCACCCACATGGGATGCAGGTGTTACAGCTGGTGGCTTTACCCACCACACCACGACGCTGGCTCCCTCGAGGTACCTTGTACCAAGTGAGTTCTTAGCTGGAGACAAGCATCGATTCCACTTTACGGATGAAGAAACTGAGGCCTAAAGATAAAATCATCCAAGTCACCTCGCTGAGGGTGGCACAGGGATTCAGACCCCAGCAGCGGCCTCGGACCCTGTGATCCACATTGCTCTCTGGTCTTCTGCAGCCCCCTGGATGTCCACAGCCTAACTTGGCAGATGTGAGTGAGGGTCTTGAGATTACCCCAGTTTATTCAGGTCACAAATCTCCTTGCGAGAGGGGGTGTGGAGGGAGATTGGAGGCAGAAGGCAGCACCGTGATGGAAGCAGACACAGACTGGACGATGCTCCGCTGTTGGCCTGGAAGGCGGAGGAAGGGCCCGCGCCAGCGCCAGCGCCAGGGACGGTAGTTCCAGCAACTGGGCAGGGCAGTGCAGCGGCTCCCCACCCAGCCTCTGCAGACACCTTGGAGCTGGCTGCTGAGGCTGGTTCTGGGTTTCTGGCTTCCAGAAACTCTAAGAGGATAAACGTGTGTTGTTTTAAACCACCAAGTCTGCAGTAATTGGTTTCAGCCGTCACAGAAAGCAGCACACTTTCCGCCCTGGGAGAGCCAGGCTGACTCTGGGACGCTCTCCTTGTGCCCTGGGTCGCGGCTCGCCCTGCCCTGTGCTCTCTGGGGAGGCTTCTCCCAGCTCGGCTCCTGGAGCTCGCCTCCACCACGGCCTCTGGGCTCACTCTGACCTTGGGCCTCTTCTCTCTCACCTGCGGTGCCGACCTCAGCAGGCTGGCATCGTCCTCCAGTTGTCCAAGGGCAGACACCAGCCCAAGGTCACTCAGCTGGCAGAGGCGGGGATCTGTGTGATGGACAGAGATGACCAGGCCGCCCAAGCTGAAGGGCTCTTGAGCCGAGAGGCCACATCCGCTGCTGGTGGGCTCAGCTTTAGGGAACCCGACAGCAAATTCCAAACCAAGAAGAGCAAATAAATGAGGGGTGATTACTGACAATAGGCGAGCATACACAGCGGGGGGCCTCCAAATAGCATCTCCTCCAGTACATTTTAAGTGCTTTATAGGTCATTAACTACTTGACAGAGAGAGCCTGACATTTAAAGCAAAGAATTTGGCGCCTCTGCCAGGGAAAATCAATCAGAAATGAAGATACAGCATGGGGGTGTGAAGACGCACTGGGGGAGCAAGGGGACGTCTCAGACCCCCTCCGCTGTGTAAAGTGAGGTGCGCTGGTATCCCGGGACATTTATAAATCCTTCACCTCCTCCCCGCCCTGCCCTTTCGCTGTTGTTGCAATTAAAAAATTTCAAGAGGCGGCGTTGTGTTGCAGTGGGTCGAGCTGCCACCTGTGACACTGATAGTCTATATTAGCACTGGTTCGAGTCCCGGCTCCACCCCAAATCCGGCTCCTTGCTAATGTACCTGGGAAAGCAGCAGGACGTGGCTGAAGTGCTTGGGTCCCTGCACCCAGATGGAGC